AAATTGTGTTTGTTGGTGTGTGAGGGAGACAACGCCGCCAGTACGGCCTCATGATTTCCAGTTCCTGGCTATTGCGCTGGGAGGGATTTAATTCGATCGAACACACGTGAAGTCGCACGAGCTCATATATAGACAGTTACATCTATCTCAGCCGCGAAACAAGTGTGCGCAACAATCTTCAGTCGGAGACAGCTCGTAGAAAGACTACCGCCCGTCGCAAATTTCAGGGTGTAATCAGTGCCTCAAATTAGGGAGGACCGTGTCTACCTCTTTAATAGCATGGTACTGAAGACATTCATGTGTTTGCGCGAAACAAAAGCAGTACGATCGCTGGCTCTGATGAAATGTGGAGCGATGAATACTTTTTCCGTGATCACAAAAGCAGTGGGACTATGCGTTAAAAAGAGTGACGTGCCGGACGTCATTGCATTTGACTGGGGAAGCACATTTCAACGGGCAAGGCATGTGGCTGGCGCTGCTAACAACCACAAAGCATGGCACATCAATGACTGGTTATCTAAGGAAAGTAAACGAGCATTCGGGCTTGTTCTGAAATATCGTACAGGATACGAACAGGAGATATGCAGTCAACGATCCGAGATCCTGCACATCGCCACGTCTGGCGTATGGCAATAACATCCTGCTCGTCTGATTATTTCTTGATATTATTTCATGTTTTATGCATATTGTCATTGATATTTTTATTATTACTAACATCGAATCCCTACGCCGAGTGTTCTGGCAGTATTGCTAATCTTGCCAAGGTGTTCGTATTTTTAGATGTGATTTTATACGATGTATGTGTTGTTGTTTTATGTAGTTTTTCGTGCCTCTTACAAATAAGAAACATTTACCTTGGTCCTGTTTTGTGCTGTCATTTTTACCTGCCAGTTTTTTGAAGACGTCCTTGATACTGGATGACTTATTACGAATGGGTGTGAGGGTCGAATTCGACCTGCTCGATCTTCTGGGTTCGCTTTTTTTTCTCTTCCGCTTTTTTTTTGTCATATTCCGCGGTGTCTTACCGTTATTTCTCTTCGACGAACTCTTCGAACCCTGGACGTTCGCTGGAGGCGATCGCGCACTTCGTTTTTGTCTGGATGGCTTTGTCGTAAATAAAAAGATGCCATTCTTCGCGGTGCCTTCCTTGTTATCGAGGTCGGAGATCCTTCTGGGCTTCGATCGGACCTTCTTCGAGGATTCCTTGTCGTCCGCCGTCTTCTTCGACTTCTTTCTTCTGTGTTTTTTGTTTTTGCGCTTTTTGCCTT